ATATATATATATATATATATTGGGGGCCCCTGCAGGAGCAGGGAGAGAAGACAGGAGGCAGTCAGAGAGTCATCTGCTGCTTTACCTACAGCTGTGGAGGATGGGCCAATTTCTCTGCCCCCCCTCCCCGTCTCCTCACCCCTGCATCCTCATGGAATTGTTTGGCGCACACACAAGGTGGGGAACGCTGTCATAAATGATGAAAATAGAGCAGCCAGTTAAAGTGGTTTCCATTTTAATTCCAGTTTATGCTTTCATAACCTAGATCAGGTTTATTAACTATAGGAGTTTTATCTTGACAGAATCCTTCAGATGTGTAGGAAGTTTTCTATAATCTCCGTGTCCAGATTTTGCATTTCTGATGTTGAGATTTCACAGTAATAAATACCAATCTGCATGGCCTGAGGTAAATTTGGGTCTAACGTGAGTAACGGCCAACTTGTCATGAGGCATGATTGTGAACTGTGGAGCTGACAAGACACAAGGCAACATATATTTGGGTTACACTCAGCTCCCAAGGAGAATACAGGGAGTGACACTGGTGATTCCCTCTTTGTCCGTCCTGCACCAGTGCATGAGCAGGGTGCTAGGGGGGCACTGAGCCGCCGGGGGCATGGTGTTTCAGATGAAATATAAAATCAAGGTCCTGGCTGCTTGTGGTCATTGAAGATCCATTGGTACTTTTCACATGAGGATGGTTGCTAAGCCCAATGTCCTGGACAAGTTCCAATTCAAGTATCCCATTCTGCCTCCCAAAATATCCTGTGCAGCTCCAATGGTATGCTTCATTTCCCCACCTATAGTGGTTGCTGTCAGAAGGGCTGGGTAGCTGGCAGAGATTCAGCCCTTCCCAGGCAGACTCCGGAAACTAGTGAGAATCAGTAGGGGCAGTGGGGAAGCAGCAGGCTGTGGAAGTTGGTTATTGCAGAGTTGCCACCATCTGTAAAGCTTGGCTGACACCCAGGGAACAAGGAAGGCTGGGGATTGTTCCTATAAAGTCTTCCCTTCCTGTAATACACCCTCACTCCCCAGCACAGTGATCAGAACACTGACT